CCGTTCTGAAACCAGACGGGCAGGAATTATCTGAAGTTGACTGTTTCTCGTACTTAGGTAGCTGCGTGACCAACGACGGTAGCGCGTCAAAGTAGATGACCGCCCGCGTTTCCAAGGCTTGAGCAGCGTACGCAAGACTAAAACACCTGTGGCGGCGACGTGACGTGTCACTAAAGTTGAAAAGTCGCGTATACTGCGCCACGGTACGATCAGTTATGCTTTACGATTGTGAGACCAGCAGATGACGTGGAGATGAGGCATAAAGAAATGCACAGAGCGATTAGGTAGAGTAGGTGTCTCTCGTCTTCCGGGTTGGGGTCCACAAAACTCCAAAACCGCATGCTTGGATACACTGAAGGACGCAGTGGTGATCTTGTTTTCACTTCTTATTGGACCAGAATGCTTGAAATAATATGTATGCACAGTCGGACTGTTTATTCTGTGTGTTGACCATTGAGGTTCGTTTTCTTTTCCCGTCCCTACAAATAGGCCCAATCCCTGTCCTCCTTACACTATCACTTACCTTGTATGCAATATGAATTCGGCAGCGAGCGGTGAAATTCGCTGTACCCTGTATTACCTGTACAATAATGATGATGATGACATGATAATATACAAAGATACAATTTTCAGGAAGGGAGAAGGGTACATTCAAAGGGCTACCATTCAACACACAATGGGGCAAGTCAGACTGTGGCAGTGGGATTCGAACAGATCCTCGGGGTAGAAATTTGGGGACGTTAGCATCGCCCGAACGGTCAAGCAATGGAGATTGTGGTTGATTACGCTTTAGGGATGCGGTATCTCTTTGCGAAGTAACCTTCTCCAATAGAATAATCTGATCGAGTATAAGCACCAAACATAAGTTACACCGGCTGGTGTGTTGAAACAAATAAACAAGCCGCCTAGCTCGGCGAAACTGATCGTTGTAGAATGATCTGTTTTACCCAAGTTCGACCGCCAAACATGTCGCTACCACGTGATGGGCGGTTACGAAAATAAGATATACCGATTTTATTGGTTGCTAGTGGCACAGTTCAGTAGAACAAGCTAGTAGAGACCTTAACACAATGCAATACACCACCGCACCATTTTCTTATCCGTTTGTTCCACTGGTACCACATAATTTCGTAGTCCCCGACCAGTTTTAAGCACCGAATGACTGAAGTATAGGGTTGAGTTTTAACGAACACGTGGATAACTTATATAGCATACGGGCCTATCAACAACTATCACTGAGTGAGTACTCTGGTTAAGCAACAAAACCATTTTAAATATGAGTGTGAGTAGATGGGTAATTGCCTAGTGAAATTTATCGATTTTCCCCCTCCCCCCTCTGGAGGAGCAATATCAGGTTTTCACTGGCCTGTATTATCTCTAAAATAATGCAGATAAAACTGTAACTTGGTTAGCTATTCACCGCTTAGATATGCTCACACCGATCATACGGATCGATATTTACAATAGTTAAAAGCACATCGAACACAATTATGCTTTGCTCTCGGACAACACTGCGAATGTCATAAACCAAAGAAAGTACTCAACATGCGTTTATTTCTTTTATACATCCATCGCCGAAATTAAATCAGTCAGAGACACAGATCACGGGTGAGAAATATTATGCAGCTTTATGATGTGTGTGCGTACGTACGCACGCGCTCTATTGCAAAGTCCGGAAGAAGATTAGAATTCAAGTCGAAATGCGATTCCGCTCGAGTACCAAGCGCTCCGTTGGAGGACAGCCGGAGGAAGCATAACTGGCTATCGCAGTGATCAGGAAAGAATCAGGCCGGCGCTTTCGGGGATAACGAAGGCTGAAGGGCGAACAAGCCGGACAAAGCCGAAAACCAAAGCCAAGAGAATGAAGTGAGACAATCTAGTGTCCATCAGAACAACGGAACTGGAGAAAAATTGTGTGGGGAAAAAAATAGAGGTAAAATAA